AGCAGAATCAGGTCTGGCTTTGTGCATAGGGATGGCTCCGTCCCCACGGGCTCTGTGTCTGCTATCAACACCCTGCAGAGATAGGGAAAACGTGGCATTTCTGGCAGGGCCCCCAAATCCTCTGCTTTTTCCTCCATTCCCCCATCCCCAGTGCTGCTTTTTTCTTTTGCTTCAGCATGTGATTCCCATCAGCTGCGTGCCTGGACAGCCCACGCAATCCCAGTTCAGAGCTGGAGCCTTATTGCAAGGCCTGCCTTTAATTTAATGCCTTGCTGTTTACTGGCTCCGTGCAAGTCTGGTGCTGAAAAAGGATAAGCGTCATCTGGAAATAAACTGACCCTGGATTGTCCTCAGGCCTGAGTTTGGGAAAGAAGTTTCTGGTCTCTGCCATGCCCAGGAAATACTGAGCTTACATTTAAGCCCCAGATTTTCCTTTGAATGGGGATGGAAACAGGCTTGGTGAAAATAGTAACTTGAATTTCAGTGATGTAATGGCTTTTTTTGGCTGTGAGGAGGGTGATCTGTGTGTATCAGAGGCAACCAAATGCAGCCTACAGCCACTCTGCAGGCACCCCCACTGCACAAATGGCAGGGAGGGTCAGGCAGAGCATTCCCTGGGATGCTGAGAGCAGCAGGCAGGAGGTTTGGGAGCCCAGCCTGGCATCTGCAGGAGGGCCAGCCCTGGCAGCACACTCAGCTCTGCTCTCCGTTTTCAGTTCTGGACGTGAATGATGAGAACCCCACCTTCTTCCCCGCCGTCTACAACGTGTCCCTGCCCGAGAACGTGGCCCGGGATTTCAAAGTGGTGCGGCTCAACTGCACAGATGCCGACATCGGGCTGAACGCTGAGCTCAGCTACTTCATCACAGGTGTGAGCCCCATGCCAGTAGGGCAACTCGGGTTGCAGGAAGGCACGGGCTGCCCCAGACCTCGGCCAGGGTGTTCTGCACTTCAGCGCTGCCTTTCCCAGCCCCTCCAATCCTTGTCCGGCATCGCCCTCTGCTGAACAGCCCCGCTCGGCTCCCGGCCACGCTGACCACTCTGCTGACCCTAGAAAAGCGTGAGGATGAGCAGAACACGGCTAGGGAGCAAGGGCTGGGGTGGCTTTCATCAGTGTTTATGGTTGGAAGGCATAAATGGAATTTCGGGGCATTTTTGGGCAGGTGGGATTGGGTGGGCAGCAGTGCCGCCCAGGCAGTGTCCAGCTCATTCCACAGCTGCAGCATCTGCAGCAGGAGGCTGGGGAATCCCCTGGCCATGGTTTGTCTTGCAAACTGCACACCGAGCCCTCAGGAAGAGGGTAAAAACAAAAGTGTCACCACCAGAGAGTCACTTTTCCCACAACAGCAGCCTGCTTTTCTCTCCACAGGTGAAACAGGGTGTGCTGTCCCACAGGTACCACAGCTCACACGCAAAGTTACCCCAGTTTGCTTCAAAGCAGTCAGGAAATGATCCAGCTTTTCGCACAGCCATTGGATTTTTCCTGTGCTGTGAGGCAGAGGGAAGGTGCTCTGCCAGGGACAAGATACAAAACCAACCTTGCACAGCTGGGCTGACCCTGTGCCCAGGCCACAGAATCCAAGGAAATGGCCTCAAGTTGCACCAGGGAAGGTTCAGATTACATACTGGGAGAAATTTCTTCACTGAAAGGGTAGCCAGGCATTGGGACAGGCTGTCCAGGGAAGCAGTGGATGCTTCATCCCTGGAGGTGTTAAAGGGCAGGTTGGACAGGGCTTGGAGCAGCCTGGTCTAGGAGGTGTCCCTGCCCACGGTGAGGTGTTGGAACAAGATGACCTTTAAGGTTCCTCCAAACCCAACCCATTCCAAGTTTCTGTTCTGCTTGTGCTTTGCTGCAGGTGGGAACCAGGATGGCAAATTCAGCGTCGGCTTCAGGGACGGGGTGGTCAGGACAGTCGTGAGTCTGGACAGGGAGACCGTGGCATCCTACACACTGATCCTGGAGGCCATTGGTAAGGATTTCCCAGGGATCCCACTGCCACACAGCCACATGTGGTGGCCATGCATATGTCAAGCTCCCTGGCAGGTGTGTCAGAAGGGCAGCAACCTCTCTCTACAAATCAGAGTCTGGTCCTGGATGCTAACATTATACAGCCCATGTGAATTAATGTGTCCCACTTCCATCATGACTTTTGCAGAGGGTGTATTCTCCTCTCAGGTTTGCCCAGCCCCAGGGCTCTCCCTTTCACCTGAGGAAGGCAGGCCCACTGTTCCTGAGAGGCTCCACACTGTCCAGGACAGCCCTCTACCCAAAAATGCCAAGGCCACAGCATCGTTGCCCTGCTGCCATGCCAGCCCTTGGCTCTGTGGCTGCTGATTAACCCTGAGCCACCTGGCACGGGCAGAGGGTCCATGTGCCAAACTCAGCTTGGCTGTCATCCCCAGAGCTTTATAATGATGCGCCTGTTCACAAATGACTTGGATGTCCCTTTTGAGAGAAGAAGTGAGTGGCCTGGACAGAAATGTTGGGGGCACAGCATTGCAGGTGCCACAGGGGCTGCAGCAGGGATGCTGCTCTGCCTGGGCACACAGGACTGCATCCCAAGGGGCAAAAGGTCTGTTGTGCCCCTCCCATGGGGTCACACTGCCTGTGTTTTCCCAGATCCCACAGGCCCCCAGCTGGGTGGGTTTAGTGCTCCCTGCAAATCAGGCATGGTGAAAAATCCAACCCCAATCCATGCTTCCCAGTGCCTCATTCTTCCTGGCAAATCCAAGAGCTGTGCTGACATGTCCTTGTCTACTGAACGTCAACCCATCCTGGTGCTCTTTGACTGTGGGCTGAGCTGCAGCTATGGGAAGTTCATCAGGCTGCCTTCATCTCCCAAATCCCTGGCCTCCAGCAGTCCCTTCACTTGGTGTATGGAATAGCAAATCCTCTCTAATGAGCAGTTGCATTTCTATCCTCACTGGGCTCCATTGCAGAGCTTGGGGGCGGTTTGACTTTTCCTTTTTCTTTCAAAATAGCATGGTGGTTTTGCAAAAACCACAACAATAGAAAGGGGGGGAAACCCTAAAAAATTCGTGGTTCAGTGTGGGATTTGAAATGTTTTCATTTAGAAATCTTGATCCTGTTATTTCAGCAGCCATGGGCTGAGCACGCAAAGAGATGAGTGAACCTCCCTCCCTTCCCTTTCTGTCCCTACAGACAACGGCCCCACCGGGAACCGGCGCACCGGGACTGCCACCGTGTACGTGACTGTCCTGGATGTCAACGACAACAGACCCATCTTCCTGCAGAGCAGCTATGAAGTCAGTGTCCCCGAGGACATCCCAGCTGCCAGCAGCATAGTGCAGGCACGTGGCTCTTCCCCTGGGGTGGGAGGTGGGAGTCCCCCACTCACTGTGCCCTGACCATGAGCTGCTGGAAGCCCAGGGCAGGGATTTTTCTCTCCATGTCTGTTCCTTTGGGCAGGGTGAGATGTGTTCTTGCTCATACACTCCTCTGCTAGCCCAGGCTGTGAGTGCCAGGGAGAAGGCAGCAAAGAGCAAGAGAAAATTAAGAAACTCGCCCCATTTCTGCAGGGGGTGAGAGGAGAAGAGCCAAGCCCTGTGCTGGCGGGGCCACTTTGGCTACATCCCTGCTTTCTCCCTCCTTCCAAACAGAGATCTCCGTGGGGAGGGAGAAGAGTGCCTGCAAAGAGATGCTCAGAGAGAGGGAAAACCCTTGGAGAGGGAGAAAAGCATTTGGACTTTGCTTTCATTTTTGTTCCTCTTTGAGGGAGCGGTGGGCAGAGCTGAATGGCTCAGTGAGCACGGGATGAATGCGGGCATTCACACAGGCTTCCAGCATCCCTTCAAACCCTGGGCTCTTCTGGAGCAGGCACCAAAGGCTCTTTGCAGAGGGCCCTGGGAAGGCTCCTCCTGCCTTCAATACCTCTGCCGGCACAGGGAAAGGGACAGCTTTGTCCCTGGCTGTGGCAGGCAGGATGAGTCACCGGCAGAGAAGAAAGGAGCCTTTTGCCTCCTGCAACAAAGGTTTGCTGGGAGCCGTGTGTCTGCTCTGGGCAGCCAGTCCCCAAGGGATCCTGTGGCTCCTCATCACCTGGTGTTCCATGGCACGGTGTGCCTGGTGTCTCTGGGATCAGTCTGCAGTCCCAGGATGGAGGTGTGTCCCTGCACAGGACTCCTAAAATTGAGCCACAAATTGAGTGGCAAACTGGAGAAATGGAGGGAACTCGAGTCTGACTGGCGACAAAGCGCCTTTTCTTAGAACCCGCTTCCCAGAAGAGGGGGATGCCCCTGGAAGTCCATGGCAAAAGAGAGGAAGTAATTGGGGGGAAGTTGTTTTTCCACAGAACAACATGGGAGAGAAACAGAAATGAGCCATCACCCGGCTTTAGTTTAATTTACACCTTCAGTGTGAACCATTTGTACAGAAGGTCCCTCCCCTCAAATGCATCCCCACATCCCCAGGGCAGCACGAGAGTTTCTGAACGTTTCCCCATCCCTTTCTCCCAAAATCAGGCAGACCAGAGCCAGAGAGCAGGAATGGGAATGCATTGACCACAGCAACTCACAGCTCATGGAGGGGGGTGACAGGGACCAGGCAGCATGGGGGAGCACGAACCTCCCTCCACCTGCTCCAGAGCACAGCTCAGGGGAAAACCTCCCTGAGGATTGCTTTCTGTGGAGCAGGTTTGCCCTGGGCTGCCTCTCTTCACGTAGCCAGGTTGCTCCCACTCTCTTCCAGGCTGTTTGTTCAGGTGGAGCACAACTTGCACAATGTTTTCCAAAAGAAATGAAGCAGCAGGATTTTTTTTTTTTGCCTGCCCGGTGGTAGCTGCGTGTGGGCGTAGTTTGGATGCCTCCACCTTCCCTGGCAGGAAGCAGTAACCTGGAAAGCATTTGGGAACCTGACATTGCAAAATTTCCTGCCACCTCACAGACCCTGGAAATTACTTGCTCAAAGGGTCTTTACTCAGGATACCAAGGGATGCTTGAAAAGGGAGCCAAAAAGCTTGGGAAAGAGGAGCAGGGCAAGATCACATTTTGGTGGACTCCATAATGTCCCAGTCCTGGCTGCTGGAGAAGCTCCTGGGACAGGCCAGCGGGCTCTGGGACAGCAGCTGGCTCCTCCTGAAGCTGCTGATGGAGGCCCTCAGGGAGCCCAGACGCTTCCAGAGCCTCAGCTGGGGCTCACTGGCATCCACGGGGTGGTGGGGCAGGCACTCCTGGGGGCTGGAGAAGGACTGGCCCAGTGCTGCTGGCTTGCAGAGGGTGACAAAGGTGAGGAGGGTGGCCAGCACCAGGAAGATGCAGACGAGCCCAACGATGATGGGCAGCCAGTCTGTCACCTCAGGGGATGTGGCACTGGGTGGCACTGGCTCCAGAAGCCCAGGGAGAGGTGTGGTGGGAGAGGTGCCATTGCCAGAGCTCATCTTCCCTGCAAGGTGACACAGAAAAGAGGCACAGGTGATTACCACGTGGAATCTGGACAGACAGCCACCCTCTGGTTAAACTGATGGATTCTTGCCATGCCTTGATGTCCAAGATTCTCCCAGCCATGTTTTCAGTGGCACAGGGGGACAGGGGGTGTCCATCTGCTTTGCCAGGAGGCAAAGCACAGAGGTGGGGCTTACATTTGCAAAGTACCACTCTGAAATGAAGTGCAAAACTGCCTGGCAAAGAAATCTGCCTCTATTTATGGCCTCTGGCAGGACACTTTCAGGGAGCACACACACATTACATGAAGATTTTCTGGAAGAGATAAATATCCATGTACCACAGAGAGCTCAAAATCATCCCCCCAAGCTGCTGAGGTTTGGTTCTCCTCTGTTCCCAGAAATGCAGGTTTGTTGAATTGGGGGTTTTGTGATTATTCTCCCAAAGAATGGTCTCCCAAAGAGTATTTGTGATTATTGGCATTTGGGGGGTTTGTGATTATTCTCCCAAAGAAATTGGATAGTTGGTTGGGCCTGTGCCCTGACAAGTTCCCATCAAGCTGTGGTATTGTGCTAGCACTGTCTTTATTATTTTGCCAGGGTGAAGAGTAACACCCTCACCTTAGTCATGCCAAAAATCCTCGTGCCAGGCATTTTCTGACCTGCTTCCAGGCTCAGACATGTCACAGGTGATACAAACCAGCTTCCCAAAGTGCCAGCAGTGTTAGCTCTTGCCTAACACCTGGTGGAGACTGTCCTCTCCTTTCCCCAGCAGGTCAGATCCTCCCAAGAGCATTTTGCACCCTTTTTTGCTCACATGCCCACCCCCAGCCCCAGACAGGCTGTGCCAGAGGCTGGCATCTCTCCAGCTGGAGATGAGGAGATGAGGGCTGGGGAAATCCTGTTTGTGCCAACCCTATGCAATGCCCTGTGTGCTGGAGGTAAAGCTTTATTATGCTGACTTCCCTGTGGAGATGTGGGAGAGCTGTCTGACTGGTCTGTGGCTGGGCAGTCTCCTGCTAAACTGGGATTTGGATTGAGCCAGTTTAAAGCCAAGATCTTAGGAGGGGAAAGGCAGGGCTGCAGGGGCTGCCAGGGTCTCTGGGTCTGCTCTTGCAGCCACCATCCCAAAGTGACACAGGTGTGTGTAAGGCAGCAGCCAAACACTCCCCATAAAACATTCCAAAAAGCGGAGAGAAGGCATCAGTGGCATGGTTTTATTCATTAAGGGTGTATCAGCCTGCTCAGAGCTTGGGGGTCTTTGGGGAGATGATGCTGTTTCCATGGGTCAGGGCCAGGTCTGTGCCTGGAAAATGGAAAATGCAAAAACCAATGGGTCAGTGTTTGAGAGGGTGAATCCCTGTGTGTATTGCAGGCAGTCCCAGGGATGGAGCTCTGGTCACCTCCTCCACAGTGATGTTTGCACCTCTCTTCACCCCAAATGTATTTTTTTATCCTTAACCAGCTCCATCCCTTCCCCTCAGCTTTGGGAACAGAGCAGCAATCCCAAGGACTCTCTGCTGCAGGAACAGGCTCCTCTGTGCTGCCCAGGGCAGGAGAGCCAGCAGGCAGGGCTGCAGTGTGTCCCACACCACAGGCAGCCTGAATCAAGGTTTCCACGGCTACCTTAAAGCTGGCATTTACCGACTGCATGTGGTGACCTTACATTGTTCCTTAAGAGCCAGCCAGGAGGCATGGACAATTCCTTCAGGCTCTTTAATTCCTTCAGGCTGGTTTTGCTCCCTTGCTCATGAGTTTGTCTTTTAAATTCACTTGACAGTGTTGCATAGAAACCCATCAGGAGGGATCACACTGATGTTTTCCCAGGCTTCTTCAGCCATGCCCTAGTTCTCCTCACACCCAGCTCAGATGGCAGAGCTTGCATGGCATTGCCCCTTCCTAGCACCACCGTCCCACCCAGGCTCCATATTCTTCACCCTGCTGGGTTAAAAGAGCTTTTCCTGCCCTGGAAATCCTCCCCAGAGGTTCATCCCTGCCTGATCAGCTCCAAATCTGACACATCCCCATGAGCACTCAGGCTGCAGCACTGGCCACGAGGCAGATGAGGATCAGAGGGGGGAAAAGAGAAATTGCAAAAGGTAAAATGCCCCTGAGAAAGGTGGAAAGGTAGGAAAAAAGAATGATTCTCATGCCTGAGCAGCAGAGAGGGTTCTCCTGCCCAGCACCAGGCACTGCTCCCTGGCCTGGCCCAGCTGCCTAGTTTGGCAGTTTTTCCATCTGCTCTCCCTCCCTTTCCTCAAGCTCCTGCAAAGAAAAGCCTGTTTTCAGGCACTGCCCGTGACACAGCTCCCATGAAAAGCAGCTCTCATTCCCCTGCCCGGCTTGCTTAGCAACACTTTTCCTGGAGCTCCCCAACTTTTCCCAGTGCACTGAATCTTTCCAGGGGCTGGCAGGAGGAGGTGATGCTGGGCAGGACCAAACCCGCGGCTGCCTGACCCTCCTGCTGGGGTCCCCAGGGCTGTGAGTGATGCTGCTCCCCAGCAGCCTCGCTGTTACACGGCAGAGTTGCCCCCACAGGACATTCCCCCTCTCCCATCACCGGGAGAGACTCGGCTGGGAAGGGAGGAGGGATGCCTGACCCCGTGCCCACCCCAAACTTTGCACCCCCACCCCTTTTCAGCGCTTTCCCCAGGCTGAGGGCAGCAGCTCTGCAGCCGGGGGTCTGTCTCAGCCCAGGGGGTGACCTAAGGAGCTGGCAGTGGCTTTGCCGCGGGGATTTGGGCTCCCTACCTCTCACCAGCCGGCCGAGCCCGGGCTCTGCCTCTCGCACTCCCTCCTTGCCGCCTCTCCCACCGCGCTCTGCCGGCTGCCAGCCCCCTCCTCCCTTTGGGGAGGGTGGGACAGAGGTGGCGGCCGGGTGGGGACAGCCTGAGCCGGCAAAGCCGAGGGGCCCTGAGCCCCTTCCCGGCGCTGTGGTGCCCCGGAGCTGTGTCCTGCCGGAGCCGTGTCCCCTGCTGGGGTCGAGCCCCCCGGGATGCGTTTCCTACAGGATTTATCCCTGTAGGGTGAACGAATGGTACAGTCGTGGGCTCAGCCCCCGTGGTCGGAGGGCTGGCACCTGCGTTCCACATGCTTTCTCCCCATTTTCCCAGAAAATCGACTTTTTCCCCATTCTTTTATTGTCCCTCCTCATCCTCTTCTGACACTTTTCTCCCAGAGGGGGCTGTGACAGGCTGGCTGTGCCTGCAGCCCACCCTGTGGCAGAGGGATAAAAGAGGCTGGAGCTCAGCTTGGCTGCACCAGGTGCTTTCCACCTGCAGCAGAAAGAGCTTTTCTCCCACTGCTTGCCCTGCAGTGCCACTGTTTTCCCAAGTTTGGGACAGTTTGTCAAAGCCACCTTTCAGCAGGTAAAACCAGCAGCAGCCAAGCTTTCCTCAGGCTGTAGGATGGCAGGAGCACACCTTGCTTTAGTGCAAACTCCTGATTTTTAATAAAAAACAAGTGCCTGGGCTGACCCATAGCACCCAGTTTATGTAGCAAAGCTTCAGTTTCGGGATGAGCTGAGAAGAGGGGCTGTTTGCAAAGTGCAGTTGGCTCATCCTGAAATGGACTCTCCTGAGCACAGTGGGGCAAGGAATGGCACAAAAAGCTGAGAAGTTTTGCCTCCCATCCCTTTGTTTTTCCTGCTCTGGCTACATGATAGCTTTTCCCTGTGCCATGCCAAGGCAGCTGGTCTGCCTGGGCATCGCTTGCCTGCTGTTGTGGTGCCCATCCCATCCCATCCCATCCCATGGGACAGGAGACAGCCCAGCTCTGCCTCAGGGAGCCCAGCAGGTGAAAGAGCTGGTTTGGGAGGAAGAACTCCCCCCTGTGAAAGGAAGTTCTTGGTGGAGCATGGAATAATCCACTAGCAAGGTATAAACTGGTCTGGGACAGAGGAAAAGAGCATGTGTGGGCACAGGGGTGAGAAATCCAGATAGAGGTCAGTATTTTCCAAGTTTTCAGCTGACACAGGGGAAGGGAGCAAAGGCAGTTCAAGGTACCTCAAAACCACATTTCAGAGGAGCATCTCTGACTCCTGCAAGTTGTGCAGGGCTGGGGATGAAAGCCCTCGCTGTTCCCACTGCACGTACACCCTTTGCAGCAACATTTCCTTTTCTCTGCATAAATCTGGGTGTAAACCTTCCCAGGAAAAAGAAACTGCTGGGTAATATTGTAGGTAATATTGTGGGAAGAGGCAGAAGGTGCCTTGCAGAGGGGAGCAGGGAGAGAATAAAGGCTCAGGCATTCCCTGCATCCTCGCCCTGGTGATTTGTGAGTAGCCACTCTGCAGTCGAGATGTGGGTGCTTTTTGGGGGAGTGGGTTTTGCCAAGAAAAGATGCAGGGGCTCAGTGCCAGCTGGACTGGAAGCCCTGGCCCTGCTGGTCACTGCCAGGTCCCGCTTCCCAGCTGCTGACTGCTGGCTGGGGTTTAGGGAAAGCACTGCAGTCTTGTTCAGTGACACCAGAGGGGACCCGTGCCTTGGTTTTCCCAGGGCGGATGGCAGACTCGCTCCGTGCCGGGACTGTGCAGTGCAGCAGAGCCCAGGGCCGCTCCCACCCCTGCTCAGGGGCTCACAAGGACGCTCTGGGTTACATTCACATTGCCTTTGGCAGTTTTTTTGCGTGCTGCTGCTTGGGTGACTCACCAGGATGCCACGGGCTGCGTGCCCACCAGGCACGGGAGCAGCTCCCCCTGCCCAGCTCCAATCATCCCAGCAAGGCTCCATCCCTACTGGCAGTGCCGCTGGGACAAGCACAGGAATGCAGGGTAGGATTGAGGGAGGCACCTCCTCCAGCACACAGACCCTTGGGATTTGTGGTGTGATCCTGAGGCTGAGCTCCCACCTCAATCCAGCAGCCAAGGGCTCCTGAGCCCACTGTCCCTGCTGTTCAATGATGAGGGCAGGGTAACTTAATTTGCTTTGTATTTGGTAAGCTCCCCAGCTCAGGTGGAGGAGAAGGATGCCCAGCTTTGGCAGGGTAGGAGGACTCATCCTAGTCTGGAATTCTCTGCCCTTGACCTCTACTCCTCTGCTTTTCTCATGAAGGTGAAAGCCACGGATGCGGATGAAGGCATTAACGGGAGAGTGTGGTACAGGATTGTCAAGGGTAAGTCCAGGTGCCCCTTTGTGCACCAGGGAGTTTGTCCCAGGCTCTACCCTCAGGAGCCTCAGGAGGTTGAGCTTGCCATCCTTTTGCATTTTGGAGCCCACAGAACTATTTCTCTCCGTTTCTTCCTAAAGCAAAATTCAGCTTCAGGGCTCATTGCTGGGAAATGATTTGTCATGGATGGGCAGTTAGATAGAATCCTAAAATCACAGAAAGGTTTGAGTGGGAAGTGACCTTAAGGTTCACCTCATTCCAACCCCCTGCCATGGGCAGGGACACCTTCCACTACCCCAGCATGCTCCATGGTCTTAAACACTTCCAGGGATGGAGCAGGTACAGCTCCTCTGGGCAGCCTGTGCCAGGGCCTCACCACCCCCACAGGGAAGGATATCATTCCAATATCCCATCTTTCCCTGCCCTCTTCAGTCTGAAGACATTCCCACTGGTCCTGTCACTCCAGGCCCTCGTCCCAGGTCCCTCTCCAGCCCTCTTGGAGCCCCTGTAGGCACTGGAAGAGCCTCTAAGGTCTCCCCAGAGCCTTCTCATTCTCCAGGCTGAACAGCTCTCCCAGGCTGGATCCAGAGCAGAGTTCCTCGAGCCCTCAGAGCATCTTTGTGGCCTCCTATGGACTCACTCCAACACATCCACATTTTTCTTATTTGATGCAATTCTGTAGCTCCTCCTGGCCTGACCCAGGGCCAAACGCTGATGTAGCTGAATCTGATGTAGCCAGAGGAGATGAGGTTGAAATTTTGCTCAATAATCTCCCTCCAAAAGAGCCCCTCAGGGAAGGCTCAGTGTGCCACCAGGATGGGTGTGGAGGCAGCAGGCAACATCCCTCTCGTCTTTTCCCCATTTCCAGGAAACGAGCACAACCACTTCCGCATCAATCCCAGCACGGGGCTGGTAATGCGAGGAGTGCGGCACCTGGACAGGGAGCAGAACTCCTCCCACGTGCTGGAGGTGGAGGCCTACAACACGGAGCAGGGGCCCATGAGGAGCTCCGTGCGGGTAAGGACCTCGCAGCCCCCGCGGGCTGCACCGCAGAGCCGTGCGCGCCAAATGTTCACCGTGCTTGGTCCTTCCCGGCGCTTGCAGTTAGACAGGAAATTAGAAAGATCTGGCATGGAAAAGTCTCTGGGGGCTGCTCGTGGGTAGAGAAGAGCTTGTTGGTGGGGGGGATTGTTTGATTTTTCTTTTTTCCTGTGGTGTTTTGGTGCCGTTAAGCTGCTGAGTGGCGCAGCAGTCGCTCGGAGGGAGTCCTGCTCGCTCGGTGAGAGGCGGATGTGCTGCTGGGAAGCAAAGCTGAGCCTCAGCCTGTTGAAAACCGTGTGTCCTGGCCAGGCACTATTTAAATAATCCAGGACCCAGCGGTGACAGTCTTCAGCTGCGGCACAGCCGCTTCCCACGGTTCCCACAAACCCAGGCCTCCAGTTGCATCTATTCTTAGACCCAATGGTGGGGTGGGCTCTGGCTGAGTGTGAAGTGCCCCCAGCACCAGCAGCAAGCAGAAAACCAGGAGAAGGAAATGTGTTCCCTGGGGAAACAGCACTGAACTTGGAGCAAAAATTTCCCACCGAGTCTCCAGCATTTCTGTGTTGTGAGGTCTCCAGGGATTTGATCGGGTGATCCCAGAGGATGGAGGAATTGATGTACCCAGTGTACCTCCTCCCCAGCAGGGAAAGACTGACTCACTCCGACCCACAGGGCTTGTTTAAATCTGTGATGTTAAACTCTTTGTGTTCACTCTCCATACGTGGTGTTTGGAGAAGAGATTGTCACAGGATCATGGAATGGGTTGAGTTGGAAGAGATCTTAAATCTCCCCTAGTTCCAACCCCCCTGCCATTGCCAGGGACACCTCCACTAGCCCAGGTTGCTCTGAGCCCTGTCCATCCTGGTTTGAACACTGAAATATTTCTCCATGAGCACCATGAAGGGTTGGTTCCCCAAGCTCACCTGGTTCACACGTGGTTTCTCCGGGGCGTCCCAGGTGATCGTGTACGTGGAGGACGTCAACGACGAGGTGCCGGTGTTCACCCAGCGCCAGTACAACCGCCTGGGGCTGCGCGAGACGGCGGGAATCGGGACCTCGGTGGCAGTGGTCAGGGCCACCGACCGAGACACAGGTGGGAAGGGCAGGGGGGAAACACCCAGTGTGGGGGAGGGCAGTGAGATCAGCCACTGCGCGGATCCTGGCTTGGCTGGGCTGAAATCCCATGGGATGGGCTCTGCTGGAGGGAGGTGTCAGTGGTGCCTGCCTCTTTGGGGTGCTTGGTCCAGCCAGCACCTCCAGTTCCTGCTCCCTCCCCAGGGAACGGGGGTCTGGTGAGCTACAAAATCGTGTCGGGCGCGGAAGGGAAGTTCGAGATCGACGAGAGCACGGGCCTCATCACAACCATAGAGTACCTGGACTACGAGACCAAAACCAGCTACCTGATGAATGTCTCTGCCACGGACCAAGCGCCCCCCAACAACCAGGGCTTCTGCAGTGTGTATGTCAGCCTGCTGAACGAGCTGGACGAGGCCGTGCAGTTCTCCAACAGCAGCTACGAGGCCGTGATCATGGAGAACATCCCCCTGGGCTCCGAGGTGCTCCGCGTCCAGGCTCGCTCCATCGACAACCTCAACCAGATCACCTACAAGTTTGACCCCAACACCAACCCCCAAGCGCTCTCCCTCTTCAAAATCAATGGGATCACGGTAAGCAGCCACAGCATGGTCCCTCCTGGCCTGTCTGGGCACTGTGAGCTTTGGTTTTGGTGGCCAGCACAGCTGTTGCTCATGCTTGGCAGGGTGTGATCACGGTGAAAGGCCAGGTGGACCGAGAGAAAGGGGATTTCTACACCCTGACAGTGGTGGCTGATGATGGAGGACCGAAGATTGACTCCACAGTGGTCAGTAGCTTCTCCCAGCTTCCCCACCATCCACTGTCAACCTCAGACCACCTCCCTCTCCCAGGACAGCCTGTCCTAGCTGAG